AGAAATTATAATTAATCCTTCTCTACCACCTCAGTGCAGACATGCACTGGTATGAAGCCCTCAAGGATTAAAATGCGGAGGACCCAAGAAAACCTGGTGAAGAGAGGTTGATGGGGGGCGTAATAAATATTTGATAGAGTTAAAAAAAATAGCAAGAGACCGGGAGGTTTGAGGAATCAGATTTTGTTACAATGTTACAATGTTACTATGTTACAATGGAACTTGAAAAGGCAATGTACCAATCTGATATATTAAACCTATTAAAACAATACCATTTACTTTAAAACATAACCAGTCTCAATGGCTTTATATTTACTGAGGTCTTTAATCCACAAAACATTTGGCTAAACGCCCCTGGTTATTTTCAAGGGGGGGGAGGCGGAGGGGTGGGGGTAGGATCTGGACAGTCAGATGATACCCCAAACGATTTCTCTTCGCCTTCACGTTTAAAAAAAAAAGGGAAGTCCTTGACAGGAGTCATCGCAGACGGCCAGGAAATGTCAAAACTTGCAGACGATAATGCAGTGAGTTGTTGCGTCACCCCTGGTATAGATTTATGCCATGTGATGAGCAACAACTGTCTCTTCTCGAAATTTGTTTTCTTTTACGCGAATACTTTCCAAGTTGAATATCATTCAGTTTGAGAGAATTAGTTCACCTCACGCATAGTTTCTATATATTATGTATATGAGGAATTGGTCAACTCATGCACAGTTTTTATATATCTGAGGAGTTGTTCATCTCACGCATTGTTTCTACATATCTGAGGAATAGTTCAACTCACGCTAAATTCTATATATCTGAGGACTTGTTCAACTCACGCACAGTTTCTATAAATCTTAGGAATAGCATAGTTTCTACATATCTGAGGAATAGTTCAATTCACGAATAGTTTCTACATAGCTGAGGAATATTTCAGGTCACGAATAGTTTCTACATATATGAGGAATATTTCAATTCAAGCATAGTTTCTACATAGCTGAGGAATGGTTCAACTCATGCATAGTATATATATATATATATATATATATATATATATATATATATATATATATATATATATATATATCCGAGGAGTTTATATTATTTTTAGTTTTCTCTATGCTTTTAAGCCACATAAGTATACTAATATATATATATGTGAGATATATCTATTTAAGCATATTTTTTATATATATGAGGAATAGTTCAACTCATGCATAGTATATATATATATATATATATATATATATATATATATATATATATATATATATATATATATATCCGAGGAGGTTATATTATTCTTAGTTTTCACTATGCTTTTAAGCCACATAAGTTTACTAATGGTTAATGTCCAGATGCCTTTGTCTAAGATGACGTGTTCTTATTCATCCTAAAGTCAAGAGTTAGACTCTAGCATATCGTTTTGGGTAAACTCAGATGGTCTTTAACGAAAAAAAATCACTGTTTTTATTTTAAAATAAACAAATAATTAACCTGAATATTCTGTTTGTCAACAGCTGGATAAGTCCAACAAGTGTGTGCCGGAGTTCAACCCCCAAGAAAGACCAACACCTGAAGTAGATGGGGCTCGTCAACCTAAGAAAGTGGTTGCCAAATAAAAGAAAAACTCTGTCTTCAATACTCCGCCACCTTGTGTTGGAGATGGGACGTACTCTTTGCTTTGCATCTGGTTTGTCCAGCTTCCTCTTCGCCTCCCAACCCCCCCCCCAAACCCAAGTCCACATGTTTTATATCAAAAGTACTGAGTGGTAAAAAAAACTGTGACGCAGCGAGCTTATTGCGTGACGTCTGAACTCAGCTACGTAGTTTAATTTTTATTCATTGGAAGGGAGGCGACTATTATTCGGTGTTGTCACGATTCGTGTTCCTCTGTTACGCGGCGACCTTCTTGCAAACAACGTCATCGCTGTTTCAGGATCCGCAACTTCCTTTCCCCATCAGTGACTTATGTCTTGACACAAACGGTTGAAGGAGGCAACGCACTCTCACTATCGAATAGGCAGTCGATTTCGTTGCATGTTATAGAAAAAAAGAGAAGTTATTTTTTAATTATTTTTTTTAAACACTTAGACCAACCGGGTCTTTTCACAATATACCCGGACCCGGTGTAAAAACCGCACCCAGTTAATCCTTAGTTTTATATATATATATATATTTCTCACTTCTACAAAGTATATTCTCAGACAATGTCATTTTTATTAATTTACCCAAATAGTCTTACTTAACAAAATTTCATTTTTGTTAGGCCAAATTATATGAGTCAAAACAAAGTCATTTTTTTTGGGGGGTTAATTCAAATTATCTGAACCGAAACTGACTCACTGGTTAACAACACGAGCGGCGGAACTTCTCTCCCCAGTGTTGACTGTTATTGTTAAAACCACGAGTGGCGTCGCGGCTCCACCACATCAGAAACGCACAGTTCTTCTCACCGCTCATGTCCAGAGGCCATTTAATCTTGCAAGGGAGCCAAATCTAAATTCAAAATAAGCCGAGTGAGTTCTCTCTTCCCCCCCCCCCTGAACTTTTCAACGTCACGGCTCCTTGGTTGGTACGTGATTGTTCAAACCTTGATGAACACCTGTGTGCCACAACCCCTGGTTATTTCCATCGAGCACCCTGCGCGTCACACTTGGTTGTAATCGCCTGTTGTTGCAATTAACCCGGGCACGGTATGTTTGGGGGATGTGTTCAGGGGGGCGGGTCCAAGTGGTGGCCATGGGCAGCAGTGGCGTAGCGAGGGTGTTTGGCGCCCGGGGACAAGATCCATTTTTAGCGCCCTTTTTCTTTTTTTTTCAACTCTCAAACCCATTATTTTCATCAATAAAATAATATCAAAGCACATTTTGGCGCATCTAACTAGCTGGCGCCCGGGGACATCTGTCCCCCTTCCCCCACCACGCTACGCCTCTGATGGGCAGGCCCCCCTGGCAATGTTTTTTTTTTCTTTCTGTGAACCTGCTTTTATTTTTAAAATATTAGTATTACTTTCCTGTACAACGTATTATTACACACCTGTTGGGCGTGGGCTCCACAAAATAATAATTGATGCAATGGCACGATGCAATACAACCTTCTCTCATCATTGGCCCCATCCTCCAAAAGGCTCTCGGGGGGGAGGGGTGGGGATCTCAAATTAACTTCTGAAGACAAAGATTGGCGCGCGGTTATTTATGTCAATGTGCATTCAAGTCTAATTATTTCATTGCGTCTCAAACAGTTATAATATTGCATTCAATCTACAGTATTACATGACCATCGGTTGTTTTCCAGATCATCTCATCTCCTGTCCACTGTTGAACTGCCCCTCTCAACAGCCCCCACCCCCACGGCCAGATCGGCAACCTCTTGACGTGATGCCATTCGCTTAAGTCATATTACCAAGCGTCTGACACTCTGACACCTGTAGTTTGAATGCAAGCACCTGGGTGTGTGGTGGAGCTGTCATAGGTGAGGTGTTATGGATAAACCAAATGAACGTTTCAGCTTCATGAATTCTTTTCTTTCTTTTTTCTACTTTTTTTTTTTTTTGGGTTTGATGGGAGGGTAAAAAGGGGGGGGGGTGATTCTTTTCACCGGGTTCGTTATTTTAATTAAAAACGCCCCCCTGTGCCAGGGTTGTCAGGATTTAGAAGAAGGGAGATCACTGAAACAAATTTGTTATTTAAAAAAGCCGTTGCGTTCCTTTTTGATGGGGGGGGGGAGGGGGGGGGGAGTACCTCAACAACCAATACTGCCCTTTAGGTTATGTCCTTGTGTTAAATACAGCATAAGGTTAAGTTCTTTTGTTAAAATATTTTATAAATACATTGACAAGCACTTATGTAGCTTTATAATATTTGAATAGCTCAGCAACTTAACAAGTCGTTGTAGATACCTGCTACAGACCTAATGAACATCTTGCTGTGCCGATTCATTCATTTGAATGATCATTTGCTGTGCAAATTCATTCATTTGAATGAACATTTGTTGTGATAATTAATTTATTTGAATGAACCTTTAATGTTCTAATTGATTCATGTGAATGAACATTTGGTGAGTTAATTCATTCCTTTTAAAACATTTATTATGCTAATTCATTCATTTCAATGAACATTTGGTATGCTAATTCATTCATTTCAATGAACATTTGTTATGCTAATTCATTCATTTCAATGAACATTTGGTATGCTAATTCATTCATTTCAATGAACATTTGGTATGCTAATTCATTCATTTTAATGAACATATGGAATGCTAATTCATTCATTTCAATGAACATGTGGTATGCTAATTCATTCATTTGAATGAACCTTTGGTATGCTAATTCATTCATTTGAATGAAAATTTGGTATGCTAATTCATTCATTTCAATGAACATTTGGTATGCTAATTCATTCATTTCAATGAACATTTGGTATGCTAATTCATTCATTTGAATGAACATTTGGTATGCTAATTCATTCATTTCAATGAACCTTTGGTATGCTAATTCATTCATTTGAATGAATCTTTGGTATGCTAATTCATTCATTTGAATGAAAATTTGGTATGCTAATTCATTCATTTGAATGAACATTTGGTATGCTAATTCATTCATTTGAATGAACATTTGGTATGCTAATTCATTCATTAGGATGAACCTTTGATATGCTAATTCATTGATATTAACAAAAATTTAATAATTTTAATGAACATTTGCTGTTATAATTTATTCATTTCCATGAACATTTGCTGTGCTAAGTGATTCATTTGATGAACATTTGGAGTGCTAAATTATTCATTTGAATGAACATTTATTTTGCTAATTCATTCATTTGAATGAACATATATTATGCTATTTCATTCATTAGAATGAACATTTGGTGTGCTAAATCACTCATTTGAGAAAAGTCAAAACTCCAATAATACCAGCGTGAACTAATTTAACAATTATTTCAAATATTCTGCCACGCCACAGTCAGCACAATAATTTAAAACTGAAATAACCTTCAGTAACAATAAAATATAAATACATCAGATTTATTTTTTTAGACACTACAGTGGTTATTTAAGAATAATTATGAGTAATGTAAATAATAAGCATGAGACAGTTATTCTCATTAGCTCTAATAACAAAACTGAAGTTACAACACAGTTGATACGATATATAAACAGAATGCTGTGCACAAAACAATGACAGTGGACAACGATGGGGGAGATTTATTTATCCTCCAATAAATCCATCACTGGATACAAACAAGATGGCTAAAATATTGAGCTGCCAATAAATATATTTTACATAAATAAACAAATATGTTACAACTAGGGATAAATATAAATTGGAGGGAATGTATGAGAGAGTCCACTGCCATAACAGGTCAATCAGTATACTGAAATAGAAATAACAGAAACATATTGGTTATTCACAATCTGAAGGCAATGATTGTCTTAATTTTAAATATGCTGTATGTTATAATGTTACATTGACTTGGACCCCAAATTCACCCCCATCCCGCCCCACAAACCCAAAAAAGTAAGAGCCCTAGCTATGCCATTGTGAGTAATGTGTTATGAAAATGATTTTATTCACTAGATGTATCTGTCATATTCAGGTAACACTTTTTTTTTAATTTCAGTCATGTTATGGGTCAATTTTATATATGTCAATGGTAAATGTGTATATGTAAATGTTTATATGTACATAAATAAATGTGTATATGTACAATGTAATTGTGTATATGTAAATGTGTATATTTACTATGTATTTGTGTATATGCAATTGTGTATATGTAATTGTGTATATGTACATTGTAATTGTGTAAATATAAATTTTTACATGTAAATAGTAAATGTGTATATATAAAAGTGTATATGTAGATGGTAAGGTTGAATTAAGAAGGTTCTTGTCTATTCTTATTCTTTTAAACTGATTGTTTATAGTTATGAACTGTCATAGAATTGAAAGTTACTTTTGGTTGAGATGGATACAGAATGGTTACAGAGAATTTTCCCAGAGAACAGTCCCAGAGAATTGTCCCAGAGAATAGACCCAGAGAAAATAATGGTCCCAGAGAATAGCTCCAGAGAATATTATCAGAGAATATTCCCAGCTAATATTCACAGTGAATTGTCCCAGAGAATAGACCCAGAGAATAGACCCAGAGAAAATAATGGTCCCAGAGAATAGCTCCAGAGAATATTATCAGAGAATATTCCCAGCTAATATTCACAGTGAATTGTCCCAGAGAATTGTCCCCGAGAATGGTTCCAGAGAATGGTCCCAGAGAACAGCTCCAGAGAATATTATCAGAGAATATTTCCAGCTAATATTCACAGTGAATTGTCCCAGAGAATGGTCCCAGAGAATGGTCCCAGAGAATGGTCCTGGAGAATGGTCCCAGAAAATGGACCCAGAGATTGATCCCAGAGAATGGTTCCAGAGAATGGTGCCAGAGAATGGACCCAGAGAATGATCCCACAGATTGGTCCTAGATAATGATCCCAGAGAATGGTGCCAGAGAATGGTCCCAGAGAGTGGTACCAGAGAATGTTGTCAGAGAATGGTGCCAGAGAATCATCCCACAGAATGGTCCAAGAGAATGGTCCCAGAGAAAGGTGCCAGAGAATTAGAGCATGAAATTTAAATAAGATGACGTTTCAATTGTTAAAAAATATTGTTTTTCTGAAAAGATTAACATTTGCAGGTATGACAAATATTATTACAGAAAAGGGTGAAATTACTTTGTCCAACCTTAACTTCTGGTTTGCTTTGAATTTAATTGAATATTTTAAAAAAATTTCAATGATTTTGTTTTTTAACTATTAAACTTTCCCATCGTTGAACGTCTTTCAGTTTTGAATGATATAATATGAAAAATAAACCACATGTAAACTTTTTTCTTTCTGTCCTTTCAAACAGTTTTATTTATTCAGATTAAAACAAAACAATTCATAAACACATTAATTGGAATTTAAAATTAAAAAAGGTTAATTTCATTTATTATGAAACAACAACTATGAGGGCAACAACTTTTTGATTACAGTTGCAATTTTAGTATATATAAAAGCGTCCCATTTAAAAATCAACATAATTTCTTTAATTCTTCACATACATAATTTTTTTACTGGTTAAAGCCATGCAACAATTATACTTATCTTACCTCTAGGATCTCTAGGGGGACCACCCTTCACACCTGTTAAAGAGAACAAAGAATTTTTTTTTTTTTAAATCCTTTTGAAACAAACAATTAACTAAAGGCAAACACACAATGAATGTGACTTACTCTATTCAACATTTTCAACTTGGACATTTTCCTAGTGATTTTTTCAAGACCCTCAACAAAACTCTCATCCGGACACTTAACTAGTCCTTCAAAACCATTTTTAACAGAACCAATTTTTCTACTTTTTTAATGTTCCAATTATCATTTTTAGTAATGGACTTAAAAAAATAAAGGACACTTCAGCCTAAAAATCACTTGCCAAATTTGAAAATCAGTGCATGTCAACAAATATTTGACAACTGATACAAACTCCACTATCAGTAAAGCCCAACTTACGTTGGTTCCAGTCGTGTGCACTTGCCACATCAGTGCTATCTGGAATAAGCCACCCTCTGTCTGTACTGTCTGAGGTGATGGACTTGGGAGTCTGTGGCTCTAGGTTGGCAGTCTGGCCAAAATTTGTTACAAATAATGCAGTTGAACTATGAAAACTCTAAAATCTAGCCCAATTAAATAGTGATAAACTTTAGAGTAACTGTGTTAAATTGTTAATGATAACTATGGAGCTCTCTGTTCAAACTTGTAAAACTTTTAACTCACATCAAATGCAACCTTGTTCACCCCTTCAGTCCAGGTTTTATTGCTCGCGGACAAATCATCAGCACTGTCCACAGATCGATCAATAAATTTTTCAGGGGTGGTAGCATGCAAAGATCTGCAGTAAATTGAATTTTTTTTTTTTTTTTTAAATGGATTCAGTTGATACCGAAACTAAGTTTACCAGTAAATAAAAATAAAATAATCATAAGTTAAATCATGATAAAATCTAAGGCTGATTTTCAATCTATGAAAAGACTATAACTCCTACTTTTCTGAATATGGCTTTTGTTGAATGATGGATTTTTTGGGTGCTTCTTTTGAAAATGCGGGTTTTAATTCTAACGTGTCTCTGTCTGTATCTGGAATTTTCCATACTGGGTGCCTCTGTGTGGTGCAAATGGAAAAATGGAAAACATTAGTTTTGTAAAAATTATTTTCTGGAATTATTACAAAAACCACAAATAAATCAATTATGTATAAGCCAAACTATCATTCAGAAATGGTAACCTGAAAACACCATCAGGTTTTACCAAACCTTCCCTGAAATTATGCCAGTTCATAAATATTTTACTTAAAATGAGTTGTCCATAAATGTCAGTAAGAACTCTAGGATTTCCATTTTAAAGAAATGACACACTGAGAAAACATTTTTTGTCGCAAAATAAACCAGGAGATCTCAATTTTTTAGGATTTCTCCTTGCTTGCTCTATACTGGATATATACTCATAATGAATAGAAACGCTGGTGAGATTGCCAAACAATAAATAAAAAAACAAAAAAGTAAGCTCATCTCTAAAGGTCAAAAAGCATAGAGCCATTAGTCATAAAACATATATGACATGGAGCGATAGAAAGATAGACATAGGGATTTTTTAAATTGTTTTTTTTAAGTTTCATAGTTTCAAAAAGTTCATGTTTTAAAATGTCTCTGTATAAACATTTTGTTTGTCCTGAACAAATGTTGAGATTTAGGATATTTGCCACCAAAAAAAAAAAAAATTTTTATTAGGTTGGCAACCCTGCTCAGCACGGTTGGTGGTAACCAAGGGGAGATGAGTAGACATAATTACCACTGGATGCTACTTAACTTATTACAGTTATCTACCTTTACTTTCAGAGTAACAAACAAACTTGGCACATCACTATCAGACCTACCGGCCCAGTGACTTGAGACACGCTTTCAAACTCATCTTCATCTGATCCCTTCAGTTCTGTTGATTTTTTTTAAAAAATGATAAAATTGACAAAGCTGTATATGCATTGAAAGTTTGCAGTCATGATGTAAAATGGACAAGGATTTTAAAATGAAGTGGCTATTGGTACCCGGGTACCAGAAGTGAGAGGTTGGAATTAAAATACTATTTAAAATTTTATTGTTGGGCTTGTAAGACAAAATGAGGTATCAAATGAAAGATAATTGAATGGATTATATGTTTGTAAACTTAATTCTTCAGTTTAACTAAAATAAACTACCACAAATACATCTGAATAGCAATGAGTCAAAAATGGACCCAGACGCACAGCGCCACCATTTGCACCCAGGTACCATTAGACTCAAGCTATTCGGATCTCATTTTTGGTAGTTTATTTTAGTTAAACTGAAGAAGTTCAATTATTGTTCATTTGATACCTCATTTTGTCTTACAAACGCAACAATAATATTTTAATAGTTTTTTAATCCCAACCTCTCACTTCTGGTACCCGGGTACCAATTGTCATAGCCATTTTAAAAGCCCTGCTCATGGCTCTAATTAAGAAAGAGAACAAACAATAATGTGAAGTTTGAGAGCTGCTCACCTGGTGAGGATTTTCCCGATTCAAAAGAATCAAAGGGCTCGACACTTTCTGCAAGGACAACAAGTAAAAAATGTATCATGAACTATGTGATCATTGATCAAATAATATTTATAATAGACTAACTATTAAAGTTCATTTTGAATATAATATGTATATAATTAAGTTAATATTTAATTTTTAATATTATGCACCTATAATATCATTATATTTCATATTATTATATTAAGTACAAAAAACTTTATACAGTTTTAAATATTCAATTTTAATTCAATTTTGTTTATTCTACTTTTTTCCGTGTTACATAACATTTTATTTTTCTTGAGTTATAAATTAAGAATACAAATCTCAACATAAATGAAAATAGTTTAGTTACACTTTGGAGCATGAATCAATACAGACTGTAAGCAGAAATAAATATTGATCTATCAAAATGATAAAATTAAAATTTTTAAAAACTTTTAGTTGCTAGGAAATGCTTTGGTGAATTAAGTTTTAAAATATTAGTAATGTGACCAGAAACCAAAACGGGGCAGATTTTAATATTACAAATACTTTTTCTAATTATTTTCTAAATCAACAAGAGATATTAGTTAAGGGAAAAAAAAGGAAAGCATTTTTTAAATGATAATTCAAGAACCACTAAAACTATAACAAAAGTTATTAAAACAATAAAAAATAATTGTACCTCATATTTAGGTTTTTTTTTCTTTCTAGAATTCAATATTTAAATGACTTTTTTATTTGAAATTTTATTTTAGATATGGAATGAATATAATGTTTCCAATTTTATTTTACCTTGCCAAGATCTCTCAGAATATAACAGCGGATTCACGCTGAAATGGTAGGTGAAATACCTTTAAATTATTATGGCTATAGTTAATTGTTCATGTGTGTACAAAATGAAATTTTCTTTTCAGCTTTTGTTTTTTTTTTAGATGGTACTTGAAAGCAAAATGTGCACAAACTAAGAAAGACACACAAAAATTATCTAAATCTAACAAAAGATTTAATAGTTAACAGCTGACATAAGACAGGCAGAATTTGAATATTATCAATGGTACTAATAGGTGACCTAAGTATACAGCTCTAGTATTATCTGATTAACACATTATTTATTTATTGAAAAAATATTCTTCCAAGTCCAGCTTAAGGGACAAGATGTGTAATTATTAATGTCAAGGTCTGATGTTTTTTTGCTTTGATTTCAAGATTTAGTGATTCACTCCTTTATATTCAAGTAATAAACTTAAAAGAAGTTTTGTGAAATATATTCCTTACTGCCTGTCCAATTATAGTTAAAATCTCTAGCATTATGACTATTATCTTGAATAATGAATAATTTAATTTTGCATTGTAATGAAAACAAATAGTATTACCATTCTTTCTTTTTTTTTAAAACAAAATTTTACGCTTGAAATTTTAAAAAAATATAATATCTACTGAAAACATAAGAAAAACCTTAAATAGGGATATAAATAAGTTTTAGAAATCTGTGCAGGTAGAAATAGTATTTTGTAAAGCAAAATCTTTAAATTAATTAAAATGATAAAACATTACTTTAAGACTAAAAATTAATACTTTTATATATGGAAACAGTGCTTTTAGAAAATTATGAAAGGGAATCAAAAAATGTAAGGGAATTCTTATTCATTATTATTTCCTGAACTCAGAATAAAAGCAACAGTAACTTTACCTTGAAAGAATATCATTTTTAGAACTCACACATTAAATTGATTAAAAATGTTAATAATTTCCTAATTTTAGCTCACCAAATACTCACCACTTGGCATGGCATATGCTCTAATAACAGATTTTTTTAAACATATTTTATTGAACAAGATAAAAAAAAATTCTACAGCTATTCATTTTTTAAAAACTAATTAGCACAAAAAGGTTTTGACGTGAAGTTTCAGACTGATCTGGTGCAGGCACCAAGATAAAATGAGCAAAACAAAGTAGCTTTAAACCTGCAGTTTCTCCCCTTATTTCCCAGGCACCAAAATAAAAGACAAAAGATACAGAGTAATTATTACGCAAGCGATGATTAGATCACTTGAACAAAGCCACTCACTTGATATTCACTTTTACCCTCGGTTCATTTTCCCTGAATCGTAGGTTCTATGGAAAGAAAATTTAATGAAACATCAGTCAGCTTATATGAATAAAGAAATTGAGATATTATTATAATTTTTAATGTATGACTAACATTTTCCAAATTTAAATTGTAAACCTGTCATTAAAAATTCACACTGTTTTGGAATTATATTTAAACCATTTAATCAAAAATGCTTCTACATTGTATAATTATAAGCAATAACACAAAATTATCAGAATTCCCCATTCATAACTTCTTTGTTTTTATTGGAATATTTTATGCACACTCTTGTCAGTTCATCACAGCTGCATCAATGGTTTTCAACTGTTACAAATTAAACCATTTTAAAAGACCAATTCTTCCCTCCAAAAAATAATTTGTGCGCTGCGATGAAAAGAACTATTTGTACTAAAGACATTTTATAATATTCTGCTCACCCTGCTAAGCTTGAATCCAGTTTCTGGAACATTCTTTACTCCTTCTCTGATCAAATCGTCAGCATTTTCTAAGGAAAACATTTATTTGAATGTTATGGTATTAAACATAAACCTACATCCCTGGAATAAAACTATTTTATAAGAGAAAATGCTTTTTAAAAAAATTGTTGATTAACAACAGTCTTTCCTTGGGGAAAAGAAAGTCATCTGTCAGCTTGTGCCCTGATGGCAGCAAAGATATACAGAGAATTTTGGTTAACTCTTGTATACCATTTTTCAGTGCAGTCTTTAAAAAAAAAGTGTGGATTAACAAAAGTCTTTGCATGGGGAAGAGAAAGTTTTCTTTCAGCTTGTGCCATTACAGCAGAAAAGGTGTACAAAGAATTTCAGTTAAATCTTGTATGCTCTTTTCCAGTACTGTCTTTAAAATGGAAACAACAGTGTAACCTGATATAACTCAAAACCAAATGATTTTAACATAGTTTGTGCAAGCTGGCTGTACCTGCTTATACACCGTTTTCTTTTTTAAAATACTTTTATGTACTTTATAATCCTGCAAACAGAAATCAAATACCAACCCAGGAGCTCTATTGCATCATCATCATCACTGAGCTGTCTCAAGTCAAGTCCAAGACCAGAGTCATCAGATTTTTTGTCGATTTCAGACAACATCTGGGCATACTCTTCCTTGTGTTTCATAGCTTCCATTTTCCTGCTGGAACTTATACGTCTGAAAATTAAATTTTTAGAGAGCAGTTAAATACTTTAAAACTTCTATAAATTAACATCTCTTACAATAATTTAAATTATGAAGAGATTGATTGTGTATAGCAGTGGTTCAAAAGCTCATTTCCCTTCTCGACACCATTTCTAATCCTAATTTTCCTAAGGTGCCAAATGTCAAATTCTATCTAGTAGACGCAGTTACTGCAGAATTGTTATGCACTGGCTTCTCTTGTGAGAAATTAATCTCCTATTTTAATTTTATTGGCTTGTTGTAAACAGTGCCTAACAAATGACGATACCATAGAGTCAACAATAGTAAAGATACGACACCCAAAACAGTTGCTAGTTACAATTAATATGATTTATTTAAGTCTTAATATAATTACAAAAGAAAGAAAATATAATGACAATCATCAACTTACAGTATGGTAGATCTTGTACCAGTGCAGTTAACACAGTTAGTACAATGTGCCAATGAATATTGATGAATGAAGAATGCGAATAAACACATATAAATACACAAAAAATAATACACGTCTCGTGAAGTTAAAACTATCTATCTGAATCTCCATCTCTCCATATCTGTCATTCCCTTATATACATGTTGCGTAAGACGCTTCCAGAAAAGACTTATGACGTGTTGTTTACATTTCTCGGGTTATCGAGAACATTCAACAAGATACTAGGAGACAGTCTAACCATGTTTAATTGGTAAACACGGTTGTAAACAAGATGCATCAAAGAGATTTAACCACGCCCACAACAAACGTTACCGTCTGCTAGTAGTCTAATGCGGGGTCAAAGAAAGTTCACGCACAGGGAATGTGTGCTACATAACAAGAATTAAACATTTATATTTAATAAAAAGGGGTGGTTATATAGAATAAACACGTATTTAAAATCACAAAGCACCATCTATTAACCATAAGTAGAAGGTTCTGAAAACGGTAATTACTAAATTACTACTGGTTTGCACTAAGCCTGCTAGAGGCTGCGTCCTATCATACATTGAATTGAAATGGAAAGAAAATTCAGAAAATGTTGTGATGTTTTGCAGCACCTCTGTAAAGAATCCATGACTTAGGGAACCACTGATCTAGAACATCTGTAATCTAACTTGATGCAGATAATGTGTTAAATATTCCTTAAAATGATCTTGATTAAAAAAAAATTAAAATATATATATGTTTTTTTATTAATTTTGCACAGCTGTGAGCTTACTTTGAGGAGTTTACATTTGGAGGTGCAGCACTGACCTCTGACCTCGTCGAAGGTTTAAGGCATTCAGAAGCTAAAAGTTCTTTCTCCGACAGGACTGCATTCTCTGTATTTCTTACTGTGCTTTTGTTGGCTGGGCTACTGTAAATGTCTCCATCATCCTGTGTCATTCATAATATGTAATACAATATCAGATATGTCATCTGGTATTTAAACCTTACACCTTATGCATATAAGATTTGTGAAAACTGTAAATAGAAAAAAAAAAATTTAATTACTAACATTTCTTTAAGAAGTCATATCACTCGATAGTATACAGTTCAGCATTCCCAAATGTTGTCTAAAATTCATGGTCTTAATACCTACCATGCCCAAAGATGCCCAGGCATTGACAGCTTTGACTCCCTGACTTGCAGTTACCCATCCACCCTTTTGTTTTGTAGTTGATTTCCTGATTGCTGATGAAGTCACATCTTTTTCTTTCTTTGCTCCATCACTGTTTTCGAATAACTCATCAAAAGTTGAGGACTTGGTCTTCTTATCTGAGTTCCAGTCGGGTTTCTTCCTAGTCACTGAAAACATATTACAAGAATAGAAAGATAAATTTGTGTCCATTTCTTGTTTTTTAATTGCATAATCTGATGTTAGTGTTAGGATAAATTGTTCACATGCTAGAGGTTCTGATAATGCAATAGAACATTTAATGATATTAATGTTGAGAGATTTTTAAAAAACTTGTTTTAATTTCAAATATCACCAGAGGGCTCTTCTGATTTCTTTGGTTTTGTACGTCTTGTGGGGGAGGTAGCCCAGGGACGTTCATAATCTCTAGAAGCATCTACATCTTTTTAAAAAAAAAAAAAGTAAGGGTTTAAAGTTTGATAACAATTAAGGACAGGGAAGTAAAATGATAGATATTAAACTTAACTTTTTTTAAAGCTTAAAACATACACAAATTAGAGAGTTATTTTTTGTTTTTAATTAAAAAGCTAATACTTGTATAAAATAAAATTCATATGGAGGGTTATTTTGACAGCTTAACTTTATAATGTTATGCCTATTTTAGGGATCTATGAAAGTTTTAAAAAATTTTAATCAATTAATGAATTATGCATAGTTGACTAAAAAAAAATACATGTCCCAAATATATGTTCTGTCTTTAAAGTCTACATTTTCTATTCCATAATTAAACAAAATTTAATCTCATGTGATTAATTAAAGTGCTTGCAAAAAATTACAATGCTATATAGTTTCCATAACAAATGCCAACTAACCTGCTACACCAATTAACCTGCAATACCAACTAACCTGCACTGCTGGGGATTTGAGCAGATTTTGAAGCCCTCTCAGGGCTAACTGCCCTGTTTAGTTCAGATGTACTTTTACGAAGTCCTCCATAACGAATCATCTATAACATAAGTTAAAGCAAAATTATTTAAACCAATAAATTAATTAAAACCACACTATTTATGCAAGAACTAATGAAAACATTTTTTAATAAAATTAACTGCATTTATTATTTTATCCACTTTTAAACAAAAATTATGAGATGTTTATTATTATTTTTTTTACATGTGTTGGCATCTAACCTGAGGGATTTCCATTCCAGCCTTTTTGTACATAGCCCTTAGCAAATAGATCATAGGTTCTTCAGGCATATCTCGTAAAATCTTATTCATCAAATCCTTAAATTTAATAAAAAATGGGAGTCAAATCAATCAAATAACATATAACAATATTGAATGACTATAATATAATATAGTTTATAAAATATCCTCTCTTCTTCTACATGGCATTTATACTACAAAAAATTCTTACAGCCAGCATGAAAGGCTCTTGATCTAGGGCAAGTCATCCTGCATACTCCAGGGTGACATATGAAATGTGCTGAAGATTTTCTATATTTTGAGACCATTGTTTGAAGTCTGTAGTAACTTTTTTTCTTTTTTCTGGCTACATGTCCCTACACTACAAGATTATTTTTAATACACCATGGACATTGTTAATGCAGTTACTGTATCCTGTATCATGGTTATTTCTAGTTGCCCGGAGTATGCCATGCTGTGACTTTTGAATGACTTCAGAAGTGAATTTCTAAGCTATATCCAAGTCAAGGCAAATTTCTGCAGGTTCTACCTATTGAGCCTCTTCTAAATGAATTTGAGTTATTTAATTTTATTTTTACATATTAAACATTTATCATGACTTTAAACTAAAAGTCTTTATTTCATACTTAATATTTTAATCAAGAAAAAGAAGATTGGGTGACAAAGAATCACACTTGACTTAGACTTAGTGACACTTTAGACTTTAATTTTAAGACTTTTTTTAATTTATGAATCTTATGCAGCATACATTTTTAAATTTCAGGTAGTCCATAATTTATTAATTCATTCAGTTACATTTACTATTGAATAGATCACCTTACATTATTAATTACATTCAAAAAAATTAAATTTACATAATCATATGCATGCTGCATATGAATATGCAGTGCATTGGGGGAGTTGGGGCACAGTGTCAGTGGATCAGAAATCTTTTTTTTATTTAATATTCAAAAAGTTTTCACTGATATTTTAATGTTGTATGTGCATATTGATTGCATTACATCATGGACTTGGATAGGAATCCTTAAAATGTGGCTAAATATAATATACTTGCTCACAGAGTAGGTACTTTGACACAAAATTTAAATATTGTCCGATTGCCATGAATGACAAAGCGTTTCAAAGTGTGCAGATAAGGGATTCACTGTTACTGGGGCACAGTGAATCACTACCTCGGGCTGTGGCACAGTGAATCAATATGGAAAATGAATGAATCATTGTCATTGGAAAATTAATCATTATCTGTGGCTTACTTAATATTGACTTAAATTATACTGAGGATAGTGAATTTAATTTTATTTTTCATATGAGAACCTTATATAAACTCAATATAAAAAGTCATAAACCTACTTATTTTTGAAATCATAGACTCATAGAGACTGAAAAATGCAGGCAAGCAATTTGTATTAACTTCAGATTCAGATTACTCTCAGTTTTTACTGTGGTCGTCTGTTTTTTTTTATGACTAATTTCTAAGGTAGTTATTTAATAATAATATTTATAATTTATTAGCCTGCTTAGTTATTTTAATTTTCATTCTAATGCCAAATTATTTTTATTAGGCCCATTCCTTTGTCTCCTTTTCCTGTTTCCAGCCCCACTGCTGACCCAGCAGGCCAGAGTTCTAAAACTTAAAATATTTTATTTTAAGTTAATAATAATATTTAGCCCTACCTCAAAAAGGGAAGATATTTTATGCCTTTCCATGTATGCATTGATTCTTGACTGTGATGCCATTTTACTCCCCCAAAAAATTAAATAACACCTGATCCTGAAAGTAAAATTCTGAAATCTAAATTAGAAAAAAACTGTAGCCGTAGCGCATAACTCAGGTCGCCATTTATAAACAATGGTAAACTAAAATTTATAACTTAGTGACAGTTTTTTATTTTGTGTTCGCAGCTAATGCCCACTTATCACCCATTTTTTTTTCTTTTCCCTTCTGTTTTAAAAGTTGGTAGGTACACTTATACTATACAGTACCAGTACACATTATTTGTAATTAAAATTGCATTTGCTTTTATTTTAATTATATTTAATGATAATAATAAGTTATCGGCATACGTTTTTAAAAAGTTATTGAATAAAGCTTAAACTTGTTTTTGATTTAACTTGGCTTAGGCCTTGCCGTTGACTTAGGCCTGTAATATAATGACAATGATGATATTGTGTAATTGACTATTAACGAAACAAAATACTTGAAATTGGTTAAAATACAAAATGCAAATACATAGTATAGCTGTGGCTTAAAGTACTTAAACTTAACTGTTATTTTTTTATAATTAAGTTTTAAAACTTTTCATTAATCATTAATCTCATACCATATTTCATTAATACTAATAGTAATAGGATTAATTCAATTAAGAATCTAAGAAGGAAAGTCTAAACTAAATAATATTAATATTATACTAGATTGAAAATAGTCCTACACTTACATCACTATAACTATACTATACTATACTATACTATCATCCACCAAGACCATGTTTTTCGGCTTCCGAGTCAGTCAAATTGTGACCGATTGGCAGAGCCGCACTCAGGTCGTTAAAAAGCCGGGATATGCCCACCATTGTCCGTAGTCATAGTATTGAGTATGTCTATACTTTTTTGTTTAAGTATACTATAGTTAAAAGACAGACAGTCAGAGGCGTAGCGTGGTGGGGGCAGGGGGGACAGATGTCCCCGGGCGCCAGCTAGTTAGGGGTGCCAAAATGTGCTTTGATATTATTTTATTGCTGAAATCATGGGTTTGAGAGTTGAAAAAAAGAAAAAGGGGCGCTTAAAAATGGATCTTGTCCCCGGGCGCGAATCTTGTCCCCGGGCGCCAAACACCCTCGCTAGGCCACTGCAGACAGTCACTATAATATAATTTAGTCTATTATAGTATTAGTATTAGTTTACTCTATACTACTATACTATATTATATAATATTATTTAAATTATATAATATATCATCCCACTATAAGTTTGCTGCTGCTCTTAATCTTAGTCTTAATAATTTAAATTTAACAGTTTTAAATACAGTTTTAAGTTTGGTGGTTAAAGTTTTTTACTCGGGGCATAGATTTATATCCCCTCTTTAAAGTTAAATAGACCTTACTTTAAGAATTGTACACCTGACAATTTACATCAAAGCATCATTCCATTTGATTCCACTCACATATTTTGATATTTTATTCCCAAACCAGGGCCAGGTCCTATGGACATCCCCTGAAATGCTGTACTTTGCTCTTCAGTTTTCAGAGCTTACACATGTTACTTCTTAAGTCTATAGACCACTTAAAGTCTCAAAGTGGTCCATAGGTCTGGGTTACATTATACGACCTTATTATGGTAAGTCTAGGGTAACACAGTTTACATACTATATATTAATTAAAGTAAACTGACCCCTACATTCCACTTGCATAACATTGTATCCGAACATTTGAACGTATTATTTTATTTTACTTTAAAGTATAGTGTGTTCAAAAAGAAATTTGACGAAAATTTTAAAGTGTGAACTGAAAAAAGAATCAACCAAATTTCCGTAGATCAATTTTCTGTAGATGAAATTTCTTTCTATCAACTTTCCGATAGCCACATCACATACCTGGTATGCTTAACTTAACTTAATTCCAATTTGAAGAAGTTGGGTTTTGGTGGATCTTCATTGTGAAACTAGGTCTAGTCAAGAAATCTCACCTCAGTTGGTCCATGGGCCAAACATTTTTTTTCTATGTTTCTAAATTTTAAAAAAATAGTACATACAAACTATACACAAATAGAAAGACAAAAAAACACTAAAAGTTTATTTTTTTTAAATTTAGAAAGTCATCATGTCTCTGCTGATCAGTAATAGCACTGCACATTTAAATATTAATTATTAATTATATGATCTCCTGTGGATGCACATCTATTAGTTTTTCCATCTTTATATTGCAAAAAAATATTTGTATAATACATAAATATATATTTTTTATAGAAAGCAGTATTAGGCCTACACTTAAATCAAGGACCCATTCCTTCTTGCCTTCAAATTTTAACTGTAACAAGATTTCTGATTTATACTTTGACCTACTTTTTTTGTGTGCTGCCCAGCAGTTATTAAATTTTTTGGCCTGTACTTTGCACACAACTGTCTATGTGTAATGATCATTCTACAAAACTGCATGCTGATTCAACATACCCTTAGCACTTTAAAAGAGTATTGATGAAAAGAAGCTATACACATTGTTCATTTTGCATTGATGCAGTTGTTGTTTGTTTGATGTTCAATTTCTGGATTTTTTAAAAACTTATTTTCCAAGTGAGTATCTTTATATATTTTCCCCTGGGCCCTCTGGGATATATGATATATAATGAAATGTTTTTGATAGTTCTGACTTTAATTTAAAGAAAATAGGTCTACTTATACTGTCTTAGCATTTCAAAGTAATTGATGCATTTCTTTTTAAGTGCAAAAAGTTCAATATTAGGAGATATGGAGTGTTATCTATCCACATGCTTTTATTACTCTGAGAGTTCATATTTCATGCCTAGTGTTAATATTGCACCAGGAATAAGTGCTTATTTTCTATTCACAAAACTTTGTCTTTAGCTTAGCCTATATGTGGAATATCCCTTTAGACTCAAGATATGTGCTATTAATAGTTTATAAATATGCAATATCCACAGCAGACTCAAACAATGATCTATTTATAGTTTATATATGGCATATCCTCCGCTGGCTCAGCCAATGATTTATTTGTAGTTTATATATTGAATTTCCCCTTCAGGCTCAAGCAATGATTATTTATAATTTAGTAATGGAATATCCCCGTCATGCTCACTCACGCGATGATGGTTTTATAGTTATTATTTGTAATATCTCACTAAGGCTCTAGCAATCATTTATTTATAGTTTATATATGGAATATCCCCATCAGGCTCAAACAATTATCTATTTATAACTTTTAACCTCAGGCTTAAGCAATGATCTGATCAAACTTAGTCTTGAATTATTGAAATATTAAAGAAAGTAGAGACTAGAACAATTGTTGATATTGACATGTGATGACATGTTATCAAAACCAGCTTGAACCTGAATGTGCATTAAAATTGAAGGTCAAATAAAGTGAAGAAATGCATGAGATGTCATACTTTTTATTATTGAAAACAGCTGCGAGTCTCCATAATTTTCATCAATATTACAGGGTACTCACTCTGTCGGGAAAATAGGAAATAGTTAGGAATTCATGAAATAATTTTTCTGTACCGGTAATATAATTACTCATATGTTGAAAGGTTTATTTTCATTTTCTCTAATTATTATGTCAGTTTAACAGTTTTATTATGTTAATTTGTTTCTATTTACAGACCCATCTGCCGTATCTCACTTTCTTTGTCTTTCAGAAAATTTTGAAACTAAATATTTCCAATAACTGGGAAAGGTAATTTTTTTTTTTAAATTGCTGGAACAGCCTAGTTTTCAAAACAGTAAACATTGTTACCCTGGTAATTCCAGCAACTATGGGAGCCTTAAAAGTCATTCTTGATCTTTTTCAAATCTTTTTTCTCATCATCTATCATTACATTGTTGCTGCATTTAAAGTCTTAGTCCCACCAAAGAGGAAGTCAATTGAAGGTGAGATAGCTCTAGTCACAGGTGCTGGCCATGGTATTGGCAGGGAGCTCGCCTTGGAACTCTCCAAACTGGGAGCCACAGTGGTGTTGTGGGATGTCAACAAGGTTAACTAATTTATTATTTTAATTAAGTAATTAAATGCAACGGTGTGTACCTTCGTGTTAATGAATAAGTAAGTTAGGCATAGTTGTTGTAATTGAGGTAAATGTGCAATTAAAAATCCATCCCTGTGTCGCTACAGCCAATGTAGGGCTTTGGCCTGCCTTACCACTTCCTTCCACTCAGACCTAGCTGATACTTCTCTGATTGAAATCTCCAGCTCTGTGGTGCCTTCGCATCCTTGGTATCTCATTTTAAATTTGACTTTGAGATGACTCATAGAAAGTGGTCAGTTTGGGAATGGAAACATTAACTCTTCTTCAGTCGCCAATAGTAGACTCTTAGCTAGAACAGCTTCAAACATATCTGTTTCTTGTTTGGTGGCTCTTTGTCTGATCTGGAGTTTAGATTGGGAAACAATCAATAGGCTCTCAAGCATCGCTCTCTTGTTTTTTTCTGTTAAAGTGAGTCTGGCATCTCTTGATTATTTCCCGCCATTCTCGTCACATCCTCTGACTTTGCCCTCCCTGGTGGCACCCTGCTCTGGTGTCGCCCTCTTCTGGTGACAACCTTTACGTGTGGCAAACTGATCTTGTGCCATCCTGCTCTTGTATTTATTTAATTTATAACATGAAACCCAAATGAGAAAACTATAGAAAATTTGGTGTCACTTTCACTCCCCCCCCCAACCCCCCATTTAGGGTGTCACCTGAGTTGGTCTGCACCCATCTAGTAAAGCATTTTGTTTTTTTGAGTGTTAAATTCCAGCCCTACTTGTAGGGATGAGCAGTCTAGTTGCATAAAAGCTTTTGTTATGTCTTTACTACTTTTCCCTAAAAGTGGGGTGTCATCGACATTTGCAAGAAAAGGGGTTTGTTGTGTAGCGAGTGCCTATTGGTTGTTTGTCTTGAGTTCCTCTAAGAAAGTATCCTGCGATTATTCCTCTGGTGTGAATGTGTTCGCATCACATAACTCTCTCTAATTTTAGGTTAAATAGCTTACAAGACAGTGAGTCTAGTATGCTTTGGCCTTGTCTAATCTGTTATTCCCTTGAGTATTCACCCCAACCCTGATTTTGATTTTTGTTGTTAAATGTTATGTATCAGTTTTAAAATTTCGGGTATTCCAAAATGTTATGAAATCCCCAAAAATCCAGAACCAAATTTAGTATGATTGTTCAAATCATGTTTACTCAATTTAAATCAGTGATTGGCTAAGAATACTTTTAAAACAAATAACAAATTTTCGTCATCATAGGAAAACAATGAAAAAACTGCAAAGGACATCAAGGCTGCTGGGGGAAAAGCTTTTGCATATACTTGTGATATCACAAGCTCTTCAAAAATTGCCAGTGTGGCAAACGAAGTGAGAAGTAATGTAGGGGAGGTCACTATCCTGGTCAACAATGCTGGCATCATCAATTGTGGCCCTTTCTTTGAGCTGACGGAGCCGGACATTAGAAGGACGTTTGAAGTGAATACCCTCTCACATTTCTGGGTGAGTTAAACATCAGGGAAAACCTTCTTTTTTTTATATACTAAACTGAGTTCATTTCTTACAGATGATCAAATTTTATTGTCATAATTTTCCTATTCTCATTAAGTAGTCAGCCTAGGAACTAGAAAATAACTTAAATTTTATAATGACACTGGAGTGTGAAGAATTCTCTGAGGCTGCATAGCATATCCCATAAACTTGGCAGGTAAAAATCAGTATTGTGATGGAGATAAAGTACAGTACAAAACTAAGGAAGCAACTTGTTTTCTCAGTTTGTGTAAGTAGGATTGACTGAAATGGTAGTTCAGCTTTAATGCATCTTAAAACTTAAAGCCACATTCCAATGTGTTTTCTGTAGCAAATGTTTCAAAGAAGATATAACATCCTCCCCCTTGTTAATTATCCTTATAGAATAGAGATCACCAACCCAGACAGGTCCCATCTAGCTCTTCAAAGACAGCGGAGCATGAGAATTTTTTTTTTATAGAAAAATTTTTGTAATATTATAGCTCAGCGTTGCCCAAATCCCAAACTTTAAATTTTGGTGGACAGGTCGACAACGTTCCCATTTCACAGAGGACTGGTGCCAAATTTATTCATTCTATTGTTCTTTTATTTTACCTTAATATATGTCATAGCCTTGTTTTTTCTGATCTTTTAATTGATTGGCTTCACATTTCTTTAAATTTTAATCGAGCACATAGCATAGACTTCTAAGATTCCAGATGATGCTTATGACGTGGGGTATTTTTATGCTAAGGACAATTTGATTTTTTAATTCTGTTTTCAAATAAGACTTAAACGTTTCTTAACTAATGTTGTGCAGTCAGTGACGTAAGACCAGCGGTGGTCCGGGGCCCCCTGTTTGGGGAATTCTGATATAGATAATACTTGAAATGAGTTTATTCTTTAGTTTGTATCCAGTGTTGGCCCTGGGACAGTGAGGCCTTTGCTTTATAAAAGCCACAATTAAAAAAATGATTAAACATTGTAGGGGGCAAACTCATTTGATTGGCATCACCTAGAAAAATCAGTAGGATAACCTTTATCTGTATCAGTGGAATTATTTGTTGTTGTCCACTGTCTCTTAGATGATGAAAGAGTTTGTTACCTCCATGATTGCCAACAAACATGGCCATGTCCTAAATGTCATCTCCATGGCTGCTTTCACAGGTGCCACCATGATGACAGACTACTGGTGAGTGTTCCCTTTCAGTGTCAGTCATACAATAGAAAGTTTCACTTTCACCCTCTGAAGCAAATATAAAGAATGGCTTACAAGGCACAGCTGAGATTTATTTAGAACAAGATGACAAACATTAGAGAAACTAATTTAAGTCTTTGTGGTAGACCACATAGGAAAAAAAAATATTATTTTCGTGGAGACGAGAGCGAGTAGATTGGTTCCGCTTTCATGTCATTTGGTCACTGCCATGTTTCGGTTAAGTAAACATGGATTAGATGATTGTATCGTGAATTAAAAGGAACAAAATTATTCACATTAAAGTATACTTTTTAAAAATTATTATATTATTGTGTCTATTTTAATTAGCACTTCTCAACAAACATGATTTTTGGAACCAATTAGCTCAACAAACATGATTTTGGAACCAAATAGTTAGAATTGAAAAACTAGACAGCAAACACAGACAGACTAAACAAAATGGACCTACCCCTTAGCATTAAGTATTAAGCCGTCTCTAAAAAGCTAGTGGGGGATAATAAATTTGGCTCTTAATTTGAGACAATCTGATGAAGTTCAAGGTCAACATATACTCTTGTGGTAAACAGATTTATCAACTTTGTCAGGCTAACATAAGGAAAACAAAGGAGAGGCATAACTGCGATAATTGAACTTGAGGGTGGTGATTATTGGATTTGAACATTTTATTTCTTCTCACAAATATTATCATTATCAATTATGTTTCCTCAAATTCTCATTGATTTTTTTTGTTTCTCAGTGCATCAAAGCACGGAGCCTATGGCTTATTTGTATCCCTGAGAGACGAGCTGCGACGAGACGGCCATTCAGAGTACATCAAGATGACGGCCCTGTGTCCAATGTTTGTTGATACAGGCCTAATCAAGAACTTCACACTGACGTTTGTATTCAACATCTTTGTTTTCAGATCCTATTTTGTCCAGATACAAAGCCTAATTAAAATAATTTATGCTTTCTAAAACTTTACCCAAAAATTCTCTTAGTACAACTAAAAGTACCAGTCAGAATTTTTAATTTTCATATAGTTTCTTTGTTCAACTTTGCTAAGGGAGTGTGGGGAAACACTGAAATAGAAAAGATGCATTGAAATTTATTGGTAGTTTTAAATAGCATATTGAAAAAGAAAACATTTATTTAACTGTATAGGTAGTAATGGTAATTATGGATTGAATATTTAAATGTTAATTTACAAGAACAAGTTTTCCAATATTGTTGTACCCAGACATGGACGTGTTTTGACTGCCAATGAAACTGCACTAGCTGGTATTGATGGGATGCTGAGAAACTATGAACTCGTCTCTGTACCATCTTGGATTGTTTATTTTGCCAGGATATCTCAGAGGTAGGCTAAATGTCTAATTAATTTTATTACTTAAAAATTCAGGAGTGGGGGGAAAAAAAGTTTGTTGTATTAGAATATGTCAGATATTTTAAAATGTAAATTTTCATTTAAACCTGACTGCTTACGGCATAATTCCTCCTTGTATAGTTTCACCCAGGGCCTTGTGCTTCTTTATAATTTTGCCTCAGGGATTGCGTGCCAAGATTTGGTCAGGGCTAGAGTTTAGTTTGGGATGGTCCACATCCAAACCACCAAAAATAAAGAATTATTACAAATGGAATATATTGCTCTGTTTTTTGTTGTATTTTCATGTGTCTCGTTTGCTGAGGAGAAGGCTCTTAACTGAAACGTTCACATCTTACTGTCCTGTCTTTTGATTCAAGCTTCCACATACCTTGTTCTGCTATTTCATTCAATATATTTAGTGACAATAAATATCTTAGATACCCAGATGTCCATCTCTATTTTTAACATTCTATTTATTCTAAATTTTATAACATATTTTATTTTTAACATGGGGAAATTATAAAACAAGTATTTAGCTAAATGTGTGTATAATTTACCATCTAATTGTTTTCAATAGCATCCTCCCACGGAATGCTGGACTGGAATTGGCCAAAAAATCTGGAATCAAGGTGGAGTCCCAGTACAAGAAGCAAAGTTAGACAACTCTTGATTACTTTATTTGTGAAATTTGCAAAACTATTTTTGATGAATTTTTTTTTTTTTAATTGAACTTTGCTACCTATTCCCTTATTTCTACTCTCAAAGTTACAATTTTTTATATTTTTTTTGACTAATTGAAGTCACTTGCAGCGTGTATTTTTTAAAGAAATGATTTCCAATTTAAAGAATGTATCAAAAATAATAAAAATTGTAACAATTGGATATGCTAAAATTATATGAGCATTTAATATTTTATATGTAGTAAGCTAAGATTTGTGTTGCATTTACCTATTTATCATAATCAGTATTTTCTTGTCTAGTTACTTAATCTGCTAATGACAATCACAAATTTTACTGCTTCAAATTGTATGTGTGTATATTATATGCAATTACTTTTTAACAGAAACATTTTGCTTATATTTGCACTCAAATTCCATAGCATACATTTGTGAACAAGAGGTGTGTTGTTGAAGCTTCAGTGTGTTTATAAAATTGTAAGCTTTATTGTTATTGTTAACTTATTGTTGACTGGTTACTTACAAGTTCAAATTACCAAATATGGTACTATTGTGATGTATAGAAAGTATTAATAGAAGAATTTGGTACCAAATTCTTATAAAATATATACATTAACTAGGTAGTCCAAACCAAAACTTTTTTTTAGAATTTAGACTTTTAAGGACACGTACTTGATAGAACTTTTAAATACAAGAAAATTGGCTATTTTTCATTTTGACAAACCATCCATTTTTGTTGAACCATGACTACTAAACTAATAATCCTAGAAGTCCCAAATTTGGTCTACTTGCTCAAAACTTTACATATCTAAAGCCCAATTTTTTTCAGGCATCTATAACCAACTATTAAAAAGTTATAAAGCTTAAAAAAGACACAAAAAAGTGTTTTTCTGACTTTTTTTTATTTTGCGCCATGTTGAAAGCAAATTCAACTAAATTTATTCATAAAAAATCTTATAATTAACTTACAGAGACATATTATACATCAAATTAAAGAGTTTTTTAAACTGCTCATAATAATATGATAATAAACTGAATCAAAATACAAATTAATATTGAAAAGGACATTAGAAACCATGTACTATATGTAAATTTATAAGAAATATTTTGACATATTCCATAGGAAAAAAGAAACAATTTAGATATGAAATTTCATAGGAAAGTAATAATAAACCCAAAACATTTTACAAAAAAAATATTAAAAAATGGATCATTGATGAAGTAATCAATTGATGTCAACACATAACTACAGTTTCAAAGACTTATGCAATCTTGTCATTTATTTTTCAATATTTATTATATATACATTACTAAATACTTATTGCTCATTAGGAAGGACGGGTGGCATCATTTATTATTACGAAAACAATTTTTTTAAAGATTTGACCATGAATTCTAGAGATCCAAATTTCAATTGTTTGTGCCCTTTTAATTAAAAAAAAAACTAATTTCATTTTTAAATGCTTCTAAAATAAGTTTAGCTGATAGTTTTTTATGTCCTACATCTATCTAATAAATCATCCACATCTTTAATAGACTTGCACGGCCCGCCATGTTTCCTAACTTTTAATGATAATTCAGAATTCTTAATAATAGAAGTAGAAGACTTTATTCTGTCTTAATTTTTGTTGATTTTCAACAAACGTCTCCCAACATTTTGCTTAACTGTTTCTTCAAAATCAATACTTTCTTTTTTCAAATTATGTGCACGTTTTCTAGCAAATTGAAACAGCATTTGCTTAGAGGTTGCAGACTTTTTGTTAATAAATGACAATGTTTTGTTCCGTTTGACGTGTAAGGATGTTCTATTGAACATGGAACAATTTCTTCTTCTATTTAAATCAAAATCATAATCTCCAAAAGCACTCCCGCCAATTAGGTTTATGAGAGGACAGTGCTTAAGAGATTCTGACACATCTTCATCAAAAAAAGAAAATGTACCCCCATTTTAAAAATCTGATAGTTGCCAGGTACATACCATCTTGGTTTCTCCTGCCATGGTAGAGATTATTTTTAACAGAAGTTGTTTATCAGTGTTGTTATTTTTCAATAAACTTTATCACAGAATGAAGAGCACTGGAGTCAATGGACCATTCAGTACCAAAAACTGATAAAGAGATGTTCTCCAAAATTTTACCAGGCTCATCAAGCGAGATTTGGAAACATTTAGCCATGGACTTTACATAGTAGTGAAATTCAGAATAAGTACATTTTTCATTGGTGACAATGTTCCAATAAGGTTAAAAAACTTGAACAAAAAAGAGCGCCACAGCTCGAACAAAGGTCATCCATAAGTCATCTTCTACATCCAGCGCCACACTCTGAATTTTCGAGTTTCTATCAGAACCTGTATGCCGGATGAAAAAAATAACTTCATTTTGTCTCTGTGAAATATAATGGCTAAAGCAGCTTTGAACCGGTTATTTTTGAAGCAGGGAATAGATGAAGCATTACAAAAAACAAGCCATTCTGCTCTACATCCATTTTTTTGGTCCCCTCTTGGGCCAAGAATGTCACAGCACATTCTGATAACTCTCTTTGTGGCACTTTCAGAATCTTTTGAGTACCGGTATTTTCTTAAGTGGGCATTTTCATCTCTACCCAAACTTCTACCAGTCGATTATCTTATATCTTTCTCGGCTAATAGCTCTTCCTCTTCAATAGCAATGCCCTAATAAAAAAGTGGATTGCAAAAGAGAAAGTGTAATTTTATGTCAGAACTACAGATCACCATAACTTTCTGAAAGTCTGTGCGCTAATTGTGATGTCTAATAAAGTATTGGCATTTTTTGATGGCACTGGCTGAAAGGCCAAATACAGAATATCACCATTGTCTAGAGTGATTTGGTGGTTAATACTTTTATGTTGGTCTCTAGATGTGCCATCACAGTGCATTTATTTCACTGAATTTACCAGTATGGCATGCTTTTCAACTTTTGAGGCGCTAACAGTTGCTCCAGATTTTTTTTTTTTTTTCATGAAGCAACTTTGATGGTTGAGTCAAAAAGCTATTACTATTACCACATTAAGATACCCTTAACTTAATGCAACCAGTGAAGTATCCCCTTGAAACCCATGCACAGTAGCATCGCGAACCCCTCTGAAACATAGGAGCCAGAATGATCAATTCATTGATCGTGGGCCCTAAAAATAAAAAAGAAGAAGAAGATTTTTATCACCAGTATGAAAGCAAGGGAATATTTATTGCACCGGTGATGTTCATTAGCACTAAGTCATGCCTCTCAAGACGGATTACAAAAGCATTGGACTGTGATGAAGCTACTGAGTAGATTAATGAGAAATACAAATATTTTGTAAATTAAACAACAGATGTCAAGCTTTAATTATGCTTAGACAAAATCCAAATTCAAAAGGTTTCAGCACATTCAATGCAACAAAATACATTAACATAATTATTTAAATTAAATTTTTGCATAATATATGTATATCATACTAACAAAAAAAACAATTAAAAAGATCAGGAGTTTAAGCAATATAAGATAAATTTATCTTAAATCTCAAGACTCAAATGTGAAAACATGATTTTTAGAAACATGGCAAAATGGCTGAATTCTGATAAAATTTAGTTCATTTTTTCTTTCCCAATCATAATAATTGTTATGTTATACCTATAAAAAAAAAGGTACATTTTATTTGTGCTTTTTACTAAATAGTAGCAGTTTATACAAATTTCTTGCATCAGGCCCTAAGCATGGTCAAAGGGACCAATTACTGATGATTTACCATTTGTATTTAACAATGTATTCTAGGGGAAATACATTTTCAATCCAAGCATTTTTCCATATGTGTAAATTTACTATGATAAAATTGCAGCGACTGTGAATGTGCCCAATCCAATATTTCTGGAGTTACAGGCCTATTGTGTAAAAATTGGATTATTGCATGTTACAGGACAAATAGATAGATATTCAAAAGAGTAACCTGATCTCTTCATCCCTGTATATGTTCGATCATAACACATGCTTTGAAAACCCTTATTACTAGCTTATTTGTTTGCTACTGCAGGCCTCAAACTTATTATTACTTATAAATTTAAAAAAAAAAAAGAACTGTGATAGATCAACATTGAGTGAGGAGAAAAGAGCATGATGAAATAAGCATCAGTTATGACTTGGTAATTGGTTTATATTATAGTTCACTAACTATGCAGACACAAGTATGCACCCATAATTTTTCTTGTTATCAACTGTTATCTGAATGAGACTATAGACTAGATAACTCTTCAGTGTTATCAGTTCAAAATATGTAACATGTTGAATAAGTGATAAAAAAATATTTGTATTACATTTTTTTACTATATAATTTTAAAAATTAATACTTTTAAATTTATATTTATCATAGAAATTTATGTGATTATTATATACTACTCATAAGACTGCCAATATATTTTATTCTTTCTTTTTATTTGAGTAAATCTTGCTCTCACTCTCATTTACCTATATATTATGTTTAATTACCAGCCTTCTGGTCGTGGCCATAGCTGTTAAAATAGTCTTTGCCCTGTGAGAAATGTATAAATTTATCAGGTGTACCTGCCATTGACAATGCCTGGACAAAATTGGAAATTTGTAAGAAATGGCTACAAACAAAAATGATAAATTCATTTCAAAATTTAACAAAATTGTTTCTTACAAGGGTGTATTTTTTTATGGTAGAGTGTTTTTTTTTTAATGGCAAGTTAACCATACCGAAATCTTGTAGATTATAATATATGCATTACTGAAATGTATTTTCATGGCTCAAATAAATCGCTACTATTTTTAAGACAATAAAATGATTATATTCAGTTCTTGCTATGATGATGGTGTTATAGCTTTATAAAGTTAAGATCTTCGAATGTTATGATCTTCCAATGTTACAATCTTCCCCTCCCCTGTATTCTGACCGGCACTTCATTGGCTCAATTTTGTTTAGGGTATCTCTGCCACATATGGTCTCTTAATTATAGAACAAACTGACACACTGTCCGATTTCATTCTTCTTATTTCACGAATTAAACAGGTTATCATAGTAACCAAAGTGGTATCATAGTACACAAGTCCAAGTAACAGCTAACAACAACTTAATGATTCTTAAACTCTCAGAAAACTAACAACACTCCTGTCCGAGTTCACGACTGTTCTGTCTCTATCTAAATCATCTCTCTCAGTCTCACACCTTATACCCACACACTTGTTTATTATTCTATTGCTGTCATCCAAAGATCATTCAGACACAATAATAACACTTGTGACACAATTCACTGACTCCAACAGTGGTCATACTAACAACAGTGATTCTCATACCCTTGACAGATGGCACACTAAAAAGCTGACATTGATAGGGACCCTACTCCAAAATGTAGAACTTAGAATTTTTGGTCATCTTTACAATCTTGTATAAGAAAATATAAGAACTATAAAAAAGTGACACTTCTTTGATGTCTCATAGCAAAGTATTGTTTAGAATCACTTAACTTAAAAAGCAATTTAAAAGTAAAATGTTTAAAACTAAAAATTGTATTTTTCTCATAAGTTGTTAGTATTAGGCATCTCATATCAAATAAAACAGTTTATCATAAAAAGAGATAAATTAAAATACAAAAAATATAATTAAGCATCAACTATTTCATTTTGATGAAGGCCAAAATAATGTTAATTGATATTGCTTAAAAACTGAAATGTACATTTCAAAACAAAATCACAGATTTCTTAAAAATAAAAAATAACTTCAACACATACATATTATGAGAAATGAAAATCAAATTTAATTAAATCTCTCATCAGACAGGAATATATAGGGAAGAAATTTTTACAGCTACATTTTCATGGATGCATTTTGTAAAATACAAAAAATTACAGTCAATGTAGCAGTATGTAAAATCAAAAAAATACATGTGTAAGATATTTGTAAACTTACATTGAGAAGTAATTTGTAAAATGCACAAAATTACAATGTAAGGGAAGCAATCAAACACACATAATTATATACGTAATAATTTGTAAAAAATTAATTCATAACATCAAAATACGAAAGAAATGATACTTTTAAAATACATAAACAGCACATTTTAGGGGAAGGAATATTTAAAATTAATATCACTCTGTAAAAAACACTTCATATAATCTTTTGAACCAAAGGTCCCAAAATCCATGCAATTTTCCCACATATTATAAGCTCTTGTGAAGTTACAAATCTTTTTCCAAGACAGAATAGACAAATTTGGGAAAAGATTTGTTGTTAATGTAATAGATATACATTAAAGGGGAAATAAGTGAATATATAAATATTCATTAACTCTGACTACGCTAAGCAAGAAGTTTAAAATCAGTATTAGAAAATGATCATAAGAAATTGAATTTTATCATTAAAAATTAAAGCTGGTATTCATTTTGAGGTAGCTTCTCTTGGACTACAAGCATCCTTTTCAAAGCTGAATGTGGCCCTTAATTAACAAAATAAAATGAAAATTGAGGACCATTATCTATTTAGAGATAAATAATGAATACAATGTACCATTATTAATCAGACTTTAAACCTTGCTTTGCCATTCATGCCAGTTTTTCCCATCACCATAGTAACCTAAGAATGGGACAGGAAAAAAGAACCCAATGACCCATAAGGGTCCAAACACAGAGAGAATATTTTCCCTTACTGTGCCTTTGTAAACATGTATACCTTTGACACATTCATATCTTGTCTGTCCACATACAATCAAATACATTTGAATGATAACAAAATAAAAGCAGCTCAATCCAGCTACACATATAAAATATTGAAAGGTGACTAAACCTAGGCTGGATAAGCTGATGATGCCAAACATCCAGAAATAAAGGACTAGTGGAGGCAAGTATGAAAGATAGCCCCACGTCTGCAAGGGTTCGTAGTGCTCACTGAGATAATATGACATGAACGTCCAAACATAAAATGATGCAACACCAGCATAAAGACAAAATATTGTGAAGTATCTCTGGTTATGAAATCCCACACAGCAGCCTGCAAAGAAACAGTGATGGTCCCTTTTAAGAATGCAGGCCTTGCACAGTGGGCAGTGCTTGGATCTTGGAGGGGCCATCATGCCGCAGTCTCTACAGAAGTGCCAGTCCTTAATGTTTTTAATCTCCAGTTTCAGCCTTTTCATGATAAAGTCACTTTGAAAATTGATCATTGTGTGCTGCGAGTCCAATTCATTACTTGTTCCTATTTCATTTTCGTAATTATATGAAAATATAGATTTATAATTATTGTTGTTTGGTGAGTCCAGCTGTTGATCAGTCAGGTTAGTTATGGAATTATGTATATGGCTTTTAATTTGTTCATCTTCTGCATTTTCACTAAGCAAAACAGTTGGGAATTCATCATCATGTAAAGGATATGATCCATGTTGATTCCTTTGCACTTTTCTTTCACATGGTAAAATAGATTGATATGACTTGTGCCGCATGCAGATGTAATTAACACACATATTACAAAACAGAAACCATATCACAAGTTTAAGTTGAAACAAAGTTGCATATTCTGACTGACAATATGATGGAAGAGTTTTTGACAATGTTAAATAGAGTGCTAATATTGAAAATGTTGTGAAAAATGACTGACAGGCAATATTTATAGCCCTCAGTTTCCATTCCAAGTTGATGGTCATTTGTAGCTTTTATTTGATTATGAGAATCATGCTAGATTATAGGGGAAAAAAATAATGTTTAATTTGAGATAAATCATAAATTTTAAGGCAAGGAAATAGAATATAAATTTGTTAATTAAAATTAAATGCTAAGACATAATAAAAAATAACAAAGTTATTAGCTCTAACTCTCAACTCGGGGTGGGCAACCCTTTGGCCCACAGGGTCATGTGGCAAAAGACATGTGACATACTGAATGATACTGAACCAAAGTGAGTGACAGTGTGAGGCAAATTTAGAAAATTTCATGAATTAGGTTTTGTCCATAAGAAAATTTTTTAAAGGAAATATTGTTACATTTAAATTTAAACAATTTAATTAAAAATTATTCTCAAAATAAACTGTCCTAAGTCTAAAACTAAAGCTAAGACTAAGACTTTTATTTTATACTTAGGGTGATCATATGTCAAAAGTAGGCCTAATTATTGTTAAATTAAAATTTATATTCCAAACTTTACTTTTTTATTATTTTGATTACTTTTACTATACTATATTTATATTATTGAGTCTGTACTATATCTGTGTACTATGACTATACTATCTATATAGTACAGACTCAATAAATATTATAAAAAGAAATATATATGAATATGACTATTATATATGATTATTTATGAGTACGACTACAGTTTTTTACTGGCCCTACTGACTACTGTCAATTAATTTAGTGTAATTTCATCTTACAAGTACAAGTTACAGTTAGATTTAAAATGATAAACTAAAGCAACTTAGTAGTTTGTCTGCATTTAACAGTAATAGTAGGTAGGCTAAGTAGGCCTACTAACCAAATTACTACAAATTAGTCAACTGAAATGATTAAGTTACGATTGTTTCGTTTTCATGACTTATTGACAATTAAAAATTGGGCTGCATCTATAGATACCCAGGTACCTATGGTCGCCAATAACTATTCGCACCCGGAGTGGCTCCGTATATATTAAATGGCTTGGGGCCGGGTGTGATAACAATAATAGTATGAGAATTATTTTTTTTTAATTGTTTTTTCTCCTTATTATTTTATTGATTAATTTATTATTTTTTAGTTGTTTTTTTTATTTTTGCTTAGTTAATTTCTCTTAGTACCGGTAGATTTTTTTCGTTCTTATTTTTTTTTTTTTAGTTTAAGCCATTTTCGTAGATCAATTATTATTTTTTTTTTAAATCTAGTAATGAAGATGATTTAGATACATTTATTGTTTTCATTTGAATTTTAGAAAAGTAATAATATTAATTTAATTATTAAAATTAAATCCTTTATTTAAGATTATTTATGTGTATTGTTTAACTTAAAAGATTTAATCACACAGTACTTTATGAATTAATTAGGTATTCTAAATAATGAAAATTTCATTCATAATGAATTAATTTCAACTATTCCTCTAGAGAGCTCGGCTTAGTCAGAACAAAACCACCAATTTTAAACCTTTTCCTTGGCACTGGGAGTCATACATGCGGACACTGACTGTTTTTCCTGATATCTTAAATCTCCTTTCAACAACCTTTCACATTTGACTTGACCTAATTCACAAGGTAGTTGCAATGAACATCTTAAAGTTAAAGGATGCCATTATATAAAGTATGAGAAGGAGATTAATTTTTGGAAGACTAGTCTTTTTTTTTTTTACCATATCTGTCTACTGAGTCTAACACACTGGTACATAATTTAATAGAAAAAAAGAACCCTTAACTGACTTGAGAACATTTTTGTTTGGTTGTTATTTGAGTTGTGTTCTCAAGTAATCCATAAAATAAATTAGGGGCCAGTATGGAGTAGGCAGCCAATAAACTCATTCAATTAGGTCACATCATTCCTTTGCCATTTGTCTCCTTTTACTTTCTCACCTTCGTTGTTGGTACTCATACAGTTAACTATTGTTTGTATCATTTCTTCATTTAAGTACAGACGTAATGATTGAGCAAATATATGTGATCTGTAAGGGAGTTTAGTTTCAAGGCAACTAAGTCATGCCACATTGAAAATAAAATACTGATAACCTAAATAAATAGAGCAATTGAAAAAAGTATAGTACATACAAACCATACACAAACAGAAAGACAAAAATCCACTAAAGTTAATTTTTTAAAAATTTGTTGTGACTTTTATTGCAAAAAATTAAACATTGAATATCAATTTTGACTTTTACTCAAAATGAATAAAGACAAATTTGTATTGCATTGTATTGTAACTTATTGTACTGTATTGTAAATGAAACTTGGCATACACATTAAGAATAACATTGACAAAAAGTTTAAAGAAGCTTATTACACAGCAGTTATTGGAAGTGTTACAAATAACATGTATGTGGGGGTCACATAAATATTCAAAAACTCTTCAGGGGTAGCAAATGTAAAAATGTTATAAAACTTTTCTAGTTGGATATATATATAAAAAAAATTGAGAAAAATTTTAAAAAGTATAAAATGGTGTTTTTTTTAAATTAGAAGGCTGCATGAACGATATAGGATGCATACACCATGTACATATACCATTCATGAATTAAAAAACAATTAGAAAACTAAGACAGAAAAGATAGGAAAAAAAAAGATTAACACATGAACCTAATAAAAAAATAAAAAAATAAAAAATTCTGAAAAATTTTCCTATGAGATATTTGTTTAAAAACATCCATCATTAAGTAGAGATTGTCAATATAAATAAGCATGCAAAGTTTCAATTATGTAGTTCCAAAACTATTCCTCCTGATTCATCAATTGACATCAGAAAAAAAAAAATGAAAATGCTATATCGATAAAAGCTGAAAAAGACACTGACAAATGCTTATTAAAAAAATATAAAGGTTACTTGAACAACATTGGATGCATACATCATGAACAAATTCCACTCGTTTATTAACAATTTTAGAAGATAGATATAATTGATGGAATATAAATGAATGCATTTTCCCAATAACCCACTAGCCTCGAGCCTAATAAAAATAATAAGATCATAAATGTTATAAAAAAAAACATCAATCATTATGTAGAGAATATAATAGAAACAACATTTGCAAATTTTGAAGCATGTGGTAATAAAACTTTTCCTCATTAATACATTTGACGTCAGAGATAAATGGAAAATCCTAAGTGGATCACTTTAAAAAGAGAACAAAATTCAATTAAGCAATATTAGAAATATAGGAGTTAAATAAAATTTAAAGTAAAGCATATCAATGTGAAATTATCAGGCAAAGGTGAAAAAAAAATAGTTTACAAAAATAGTTTCAGCAAGGCATATTCACACATTCTCAAAGCTAAGAATTTTCTAGATATCTTTACAAATTTTACACAATATTGTAGAACATGTTAATGTTTTTAATAAGAAATCAATAGACGCAAGTTTAGGAAACAAAAATGTGCCCAAGAAATAATATAATAAAAATGGTTATTTACACAATTTTGAAAAATAATTTGCAGCACATTGAAAACATTTACATATTTATAAAAGTAGCTGAAATCTTTCGGAACCAAGCATTGCGAATTAGCAGTGAAAATAAATTTACAAGAACAAGTCAAGAATGACGATTATCTCAGCAAGGCCTTTTCAAACCCAGTTGTTGAGTTTAACTGTCTATGTTCTATATACCGGTATTCACTTTTCTGCGTGTTAACTTGGCCGTTGGTTCACTAGTCCTGTGTTTGGATGTGTTATGGTGAGTTGTGGGTTTACTTGTCCTGCGTTCATTTGCGCGGCCACCGCAGCGGACACAAACCATAAAGTTTATGCAGCATTAACGATCAGAAATCTGCTTAAAGTAAACCTATACACGGGTAAGCCATGGCGACTGCGTTGCTGCCCACAGCCTTACTAAACAGAAACATGGCAAGGCCGTGGAGGCCACGTCGCTCTAGCTATGCCGACGTATTACTTTAATGTATCAGAGAATGACTTTGGTAATCAGCAGGCCAGACCAAGGAAACGGCGCATGGGCAAAAAAAAGGTGCGAAGCGAGAGACTCGGCTACGCATTAGAATTCCACCAACAACAGAGACTGAGAGAGCGACCAATGTCCAAGCGTTGGGTGATGTGTAACATTTCCTCATAATGAGCAGATCTGGGAAACGTTTCGAGCGGACCAGGGGTTATGTTGCGATATGTTAACTAGAAAGTTGTGCCACCCAGTACCACTAAGTTAAAAAAAAACAAAAAAACTCTTCAGCTCACCGAAAATGCCGCCCCTCATGAAATTTTTTTTTAAAAAGTGGTACCTGTGTGGACCACCCCCTCCACAGCCCCCTTCCTATGCAAGTGGATTGACTTTTTCTCGACAATTGTGAGTCATAGTAGCCAAATAAGCTATTTAAATGGTCTGTGGTTGGTCAGTTCTAATTTGATAGATGGAACTTAATTATTTAGATGCCACCTCAGTTGACTCTGGTTTGTGGTGAGTAAAATGAGAGGCAGTGTTAGTGATTTTATT